GTAAAGTATAACATAAAATTATATACCACTTATAGGCAACCGCATGATAATATTCAATACAGTTATCCAGTGATATTCATCAGAGACATTACATTCAAATTATCTCAACTCGATGGGGTCTTCGCAATCAAGAGGTATTCCGAACGAGGTAACGGTGGTATTGTGGAATTACTGGAATTTACCTACGTTTGATATAAAGCTTACTATTCTCTGATCTCAGTTAATAAGTCAAAAAGCAGCCACCACAACAATCGACCGATTTCAATGTAGAACAAGACGTAACGCGTTGTTTCCGATTCCAAGTACTCRTATTAATCTCATTAATAGTCAATGTGTGCTATGAAAGGACATTTTCTATTCCATTTCCATATTTTATCATTTAATCAGCCAAATCCGATGTGCCTGCGTAATGCGTTTCTGATCATGGATCCGTTGTATTGTCACCTCCGATCATTTTGTTTTTGTTATTATGTGCAAACTGGCGCAATGAGAATGAAATGTACACGTAACCGCCGTTCGTCGTTTATTTGGGTTGTAAATGTAATTTATAAATTGCATGGAAACAAAAAAAAACAACCTAACAATGAATGAAACGTAGATAAAGACCCTGATAATAGTCGGCAAACGATCATTTATCGTCGTCGATGACGGCGTCGCGGTAACAAACGAATTCGATTAACAGCATTTAAGCACGAGACGCCTCGAGCTCAGCTCCTTTACACGCCGTAAAAATAAAATAAAACAAGGGAAACAATAACCGATCAAAATAATAATAATAGCAATAGATTTTCTCGTGAAACACACGTAGCTACACTAAGCCATATAATACCGTCGTCGATATAATATCAGCGCAGTGTAACAATAATTTCAATTGAATTAAAACGTATACCGATCAAAGTGCGAACGATAAATCATATTTTGTATCCATTGTTCCAGCTGTCAAACCAGGAAACACATCATTTCTCACCTCGGTGTCGTCGTTAATTTAGTTATCTGGCCGTGTCGCCACCACCGGTACGGTATCATATTCGATAATAAAGTTAACAACCACAAAGAAACTGTGTCCATTGTGCACGTGTGTACGTGCGAATTTTATCGTACTTTTTTCACGTYCGGGTAACCGAAAGAACGATAACAATAATAATAATATAACTATAATAGGTGCAGTGGGTGAGCGAATGATTTTCGAGATGTCGAGATGTATGTTTGTGTGTGGTGATGGTGGGAGGGGGCGAAATAATGGGCAGTGATGATGTAGCTTGGCGCTAGAAGGACGTGAGAATATAAAAACGAGAAAATAATAATTATTGTTCATAGACAACCGTGAACGCGGTGGCGCATACCACTCTGCTCGCGCTGTCGCTAGCAAGACAACAATGATTTATGAAATCCGAACGCATCATCTTACACACGCACATTACGTATTTATCTGAGACGTAACCGTGGTTCTGGTAGGGTAGTTTAGAGTTTGCGGTGCACACTCCACGAGGCACTACAATAACTATACGACAATACGTCGTTGACGCAGATAGACTGTATAATCGGTGCCGAGCAAACAAACGTGGTTTTCTCGATGTGTTGTGTTACACTATATATATTTTTTTCTCCACCTTTGGCCCCTCGAAAATGTTTAGTACACGGTAACGCGAAACGCTCCGGTTCCACACAATGGTTGTTCGCGTTTTCAACAGCACGAGTGGRTAAATGCATAATATTACAATATAACGATAAGACTTATTATTATAATAATAATAATGATAATAATAGTAACAATATGTATCATGTCGCGGCGCGAATAACGCAACCTCAGTGCATATTATATTTTTATAATATAACTGGTGCACCGTATTGTTGTTACCATCGTTATACATGCAAACATTGCAAACACATAAGTATAGTAGGCGATACCTATGAATAATTTCAGCTGTCACATTGAATCTGTGTCCGATTCATATCGAGWTAATCGTATAATAACCGATGGGTATATCTCTCGTGGGTATATGGGTTATCGTGGGTTATGGCTCACGCGATGCTGGCGTTAATGCCACGGCATAGTTGTGGCTACAATATAATAATATTGTCATCGTTATTATATTACTATCCTACCGGTTGTTACAAACGTCCCCGATTACCGGGTCGTCGAATTAATCGCGGTCGGTTAATATTATTTATCGAAATATCGCATGTTCGATATTTTTCATATTATTATAACTATGCCACGCTCGATATTTTTCGTATTTTAATATTTATCACCGAAATTTAAAAGTGAATCATAAATTATAATGAAATGGATAGGATACAAYGTATTATTACAAGTGATCGATGGWATTTCAGAAAAAGAGTCCGAATAAGGATACCTAAATCGAGTATCTGACTATGTATAACCACACTATACAAAACTGTAAGCAAACGGCCTCAATTTCTTATCTATTTTAGACCTTAAAACTAACACATACTGAATTTATTAGTGGCGTCCTTTCCATTT